TTGTGAGTCCGAGTTCTTGTTATAGTGATTGAACCCAAAGTAGTTCCGACGTAGTAGTCACGACGGCACGGTATTCGGCCTCGGTAGATGACCGAGATACGGACCGTTGCTTTCTGGAGCTCTAAGAGATGGGGTTGGCTCCAATGTATATTATGTAGCCGGATGTTGACGTCCGATCATCAGGATTACCCGCCCAATCGGCATCGGAATATGCATGGAGAACAGGTTGGGTATTTCTGTTCAAGTGTAGGCCATGAAATAAGGTCCGCTTTAGGTACCGTAGGAGCCGCTTTGCTGCTGTCCAGTGAGCAATTGTTGGCTTGTGCATGAACTGTGACAATTTGTTTACCGCAAAGCCAATGTCGGGACGGGTAATAATGAGATACTATAGTGCCCCGAGTAAGCTTCTGAATTCGGTGGCATTGGCAGCTTTGAACTGATTGTGCTTGGTGAGCTGGACTGCCGTGGGTAGTGGAGTCCCCACATCTTTGGCGTCACCCATTTTATGACGTTCCAGAATCTCCCGTATGTACTTGTGTTGTGAGAGGAAGAGGCCAGTCTTAGTTTGAATGACTTCAATTCCTAAGAAATAGTTGAGTTGTCCCAAGTCTTTAAGTGAAAACCTTTTGGCCAATGTAGAGATGAAGTTGGAGACAAAAGTGGCATCATTCCCGGTGATTATAAGATCATCGACATACACCAGGAAGTAGACTTGAATGCCATCGCGGGAGTAAATGAATAGTGAATGATCTGTTTTTGAGTTCACAAAGGAGTTTGCAATGAGGAAGGAGCTTAACTCATTGTACCACGCTCTCGAGGCTTGCTTGAGGCCATAAATGGCTTTACGGAGTTTGCAAACGTGTGTCGGTTTGTCCGGATCAATGAAACCAGGGGGTTGCGACATATAGACTGCATCTTGGAGTGTGCCTTGAAGAAAGGCATTGTTGACGTCCATTTGACGTAATGACCATCCTCGCATTAATGCCAAAGAGAGGACCACCCGTATTGTTGTCGGTTTGACAACGGGACTGAAGGTGTTTGTGTAGTCTAATCCCGGACGTTGATGAAAGCCTTTGGCCACAAGTCGGGCCTTGTATCTCTCAATGCTCCCATCCGCTCGTCTTTTAATCCGATAAATCCACCTGCAACCAACAACATTCATCGAAGGCTCAGAAGGTATTAGTTCCCATATTCCATTGCGAATAAGGGCGTTAATTTCCTATGTCATTGCGTCACGCCATTGAGGATCGCACATGGCTTGTGTTATCCCCGTTGGTTCCGTTGGTAGTGGTAGGGGATGTTTGGTTGATGTTGGGTGGGCTTGTTTGGGTTTGAAGATATCGTTTTGAGATTGTGTAGTCATAGGGTGGGTCCGGGTGTGCATGTGGTTATTTTGGGTGGAGGCCAGTTGCTGGTTTGGCAGTAGTGGTTGTTCTGTTTGTGGGACTTGTGTTTGATGTTGTGGGTTGTGTGGTTCATTTGCGGGTTGATCACTGAATTCGTTGCAAGGAGCATCGGTGCTTGTCGGATGGCATAGCGATGGAGCGGGCGCGGATGGCACAGACTCAAGAGGAGTGAGTGGTAGAGTAATGGTTGTGGTAGGTGAGAGACATGGAGAGGACTGATTTGTTGATTGGTTTTGTGATAATTTTTTGTAGGGGAAAACATTTTCGTCAAAGACAACGTGACGAGATAAATATAGTCGATGTGTTGCTGGATCGAAACATTTGTATGCACTTTGGGAGAGGGCATAACCAAGGAAAAGACATGGTGTGGAGCGAGACGCAAGTTTTTTTGTGGTATATGGTTTTAACCAAGGATAACATAGACATCCGAAAGTACGTAGTTTGTGGTAATTTGGGTCACGGCCGAAAAGGGTTTGATATGGTGATTTTTGGGCTAAAATGGGTGTGGGCATTCGATTAATTAAATATGTGGCGGTTTGGAAGGCATGACTCCAAAAAGTTGGCGGGAATTGGGCCGTGTGTAGGAGAGCAAGGCCCGTTTCGACGATATGTCGATGACGGCGTTCAACAGTACCGTTGTGTTGGGGTGTATATGGGGGTGTTGTGAGGTGGGAGATACCATGTTTCACAAGGAATGATTTTAGGTTGTGATATTCTCCTCCACCATCCGAATAAAAAGTTCGAATGGAGCGAGAGAATTGTTTTTCCACAAGAAGTTTGAATTGTTCAAAAATTGGAGTTACTTCGGATTTTTTGCGCATTGGGTAAAACCATATGTATTTTGTCCAAAGGAAATTGACTCACAAGACCAAAGGAAAACCATCAGTGGACACGGTTGACGCAGGACCCCAGACATCCGAATAGACAATGTCCAAAGGAAATTGACTCACAAGAGTGGAGACACCAAACGGAAGTTTGTGACTCTTATTGCACCGACATGCATCACAAGATAAATCAGAACCTAGATTTGACTCAGAAAGCGAAAAGATTTTAAGGATTTGACGCAAAATACGTGAAGATGGATGTCCGAGCCGATTATGCCAATTCATAGCCCGCGTCCGCTGTCCAACAAAAGCCGTAGGAGAGGGTTGCGGTTGCATCTTTGTGGACGGCATTTGATAGACTCCATCGCTAAGTTTTCCTCGAAGCAACGTCACCCTCGTGCGAAGATCCTTCACCAGGAAATGATTGGCAAAAAATTCAATGGACGAACGGTTAGCACGACAGAATTGCGGTACGGAAATTAGGTTTTTGGTGATAGCTGGGGCACACAGGACGTTTGATAAAGTAAATGTGTTTTCGGGATGAGTTAGAGTCGTAGAACCAACGTGAGTTATACGCAAACCTGTGCCGTCACCAATGACGATCTCGTCGGGCCCTTCGTATTCGGAATGAAGCGAGAGATTGTTCAAGTCATTGGTTATATGATGGGACGCTCCTGAGTCCACTAACCATCCAGATTCTCGGGTTGAAGCAGCGGCGACGTTGGCACTCGAATCACGTATGGAGTTGCGGAACCGAGAGCAAGCTTTGGCTGAGTGGCCGTATTGGTCACAAAGCTGGCAGATTTGGCGGCTGGCATTGCCATGCCTCTCACGATCGTTGTTGCGTCTGCTTGAGTAGTTTCGGTTCTGGTTGAAGCGAGAGTTACTGGACTGAAAATTCCCTTGCTGATAATTGGTGTCCCTGCGCGAATTGCGGCTATTCCAGCGTGAATGACTCCCTGAGCCTCGATTACGTGAGCTAAATTGGGCAGTAATTGGTACGGAATCATGGCTTAGCTCTTCTTGTTTGAGATATGTCTCGTATCCAACTAACTTGTCGTGCATTTCTTCAAATGAAATAGGGGTTTCTCGAGCCCTAATTGTTGCAGCGATTTCCTTGAATTCGGATCCAAGGCCACGGAGCGCGTGAATGACCAAATCATCGTCGTTTAGAGGGGTATCAATTATGGCCAGCTCGTCTGCAATTGATTTAAGGTGCTGAAGATAATCCGACACTGAACGTGAGTTGCGACGGACGGTTGAGAGTTGATTCTTGAGATGCATAACTCTTGAGCGGGATTTATTTGCATATAAATTTGTGAGTTTTGTCCAAGTTTCGTAGGACGTTTTGCAAGATGCGATGAGTGGTATAACTGATTCGGAGACCGCTGAAAAAATTGCAGCGAGAAGAAGCTGATCCTGGCGTATCCATAATGCAGCGTCGGGGTTGCTAACTTTCTGATTTCCGGTAGTAATGGTTAAGGACGGACATTGCTTCGATCCGTCAACAAAGCCTTGCAGATTGTTAGAAGTATCAAGGGCAAAGTGGTCTTTAGAACTCTTAGGGTTTATTGGGTTACCATTGTATAAATACGTTATTTTGCTGAATAATAAATCAACTTTTCCTCTCTAACATGGTATCAGAGCAACAAAAATTCTAAACCCTAAACAGCCGCTTACCACCGTCTACCCCCAGTCGCCGCTGTGAACCATCCACCGTCGACCACCAACCAACCCACTTCAATCAACCCTCTCCTCACCGGAATCTTTAGATCTCGCGTTGCCCAGGCCCGGCGAGCCTTGCCGGGGCGTCATCTAGGCCGGCGAGCCTTGCCAAGGCGTAGCCTAGGCCCGACAAGGCCAGATCTAGAGTCAGCAAGACCCAGCGACCCATGTAGAGACGTCACCCAACGTCACCGAGGCCAGCAAGTCCAAATCCAGTGCTGTCCATCGTCGGGGAGTCTTGTAGAGAGGTCATCCAGCATCAGTGAGGCATCGTCCATTGTCAGTGAGCTAGATTCAGCACCCATGTCTCTCGGTTAGGATCCACAGGTTTGATTTTTTTGGCGGCTTGATGGTTACTAAGCTTCACAGCAGGAGTTTTGAGGCGTTATTTGTTGATTAGGCTTGGTAATGATGTGGGTAGCGCTATATTCGAGATATGGATGTGTTTGTGGAATGTTTCTGAATTTTTCGGAACTTATGCGATGTTGATTAGGTGAATTTTGGAGATTTCGGAGTTAATTATTTGGGGCTCTGGTGGATTATTGAATTGTTAAGGATGGATGATCCGAGTAAAATTGATGGTAGTTCTGGAAAGAGTGATACCGTGACTACTGAGGTAATTTCCTCTTCATCTTCTTGAATTACTGACAAGAAAATTGAGGGTATTATCAATTTTCAACAATGGAAAAAGATTGTTAAGTTTGTTTTGACGGGTAGAAATCAGCATATGCACTTGACTGAAACTAAACCTACTAATGATGCAAATTGGGATGTTATTGATGCACGTCTTATGGGTCAGCTTTTGAACTCCATGGAGAGCAATATTGTAGACTTGGTAACTCATATTGATACAGTCAAGGACTTGTGGAAGTACTTAGATGTATTGTATTCTGGCCAGAACAATATTTCTAGGATATATGAACTATCACAGGAATTTCACCGATCTGAGAGCAAAGGGCGTTCTGTTGATCAATACTTTGCTGATTTTAATAGAATGTATGAAGAATTGAATGCTCTCCTTCCTATTTCTTCTAATGCTAAACAAATGCGACTCCAAAGAGAACAGTTGGCTGTAATGAATTTTCTAGGAGGTCTTGCTCCGGCCTATGATACTGTTAGATCTCAGATTCTTGGAGGAGAGACTATTGCGTCACTTAGGGATACATATGCTCGAGTTCTTCGAGCATCCCGTGGTTCTTCTCAGAGCACCACAGCTGTGGTTGATAATTCAGCTCTTATTTCTCAATATCGAACTGGTGGAGGTAAGGGGGACGAAGGAAATCGTGGAGGGTATAATGGTCGTGGTGGCCGTGGTGGTCGAAGTACAGGAATAGGAAGAGGCCAAGGACAAAGGCAGCTTTATGGATCGTCCCAAACTACTACTGAGAGCTCAGGGACTATTCGAACTTGTCATTATTGTGGAAAACCTGGCCATATTCAGAAATTTTGCTACAAGTTACATGGTAGACTAGGACAGCAACAACAGTTTGAAAATGCTACATCTGGCACTGACTCTTTGTCCCTACCACAGCCTTCACAAGGCAATGTAGTGGTTATGTCTGATGAGGAATTTGCACGGTACAACCAGTCTCAGATTTCACTACCTACTTCGTCTTCCACTACTACTCTAGTCCAGACAGGTAATGCTACTGCATGCGTTTCAGCTAGTTCTCACCCTTGGGTCATTGATTCAGGGGCATCTGATCATATGTCAAGTCTTTCAGGTATATTTTCCTCTCTTACTCCATCATCATCCACCGTTACTTCAGCTAATGGTTCATCTACACATGTTAAGGGAGTTGGCACAGTTCATCCAACTCCCTCACTGTCTTTGACCTCAGTGCTTTATCTTCCACAATTTCCTTTTAATCTCATGTCAGTCAATAAGTTAACTAAAACCTTTCAATGTTCAGTAACATTCTATCCTGATTCGTGTATATTCCAGGATCTGGCTACGAAGAGGATGATTGGTAAAGGACGTGAGGAAGGGGGACTGTATGTGCTTGAAGACTCAACTTCCTTTGCATGTTCTGGTGTTACTTCTCTAAATCAGATCTATTATCGTCTTGGTCATCCTTCTCTACACAGTCTTCAGAGATTGAATTCTAGTTTTAAATATATTTCTAGTTTAGAGTGTGAGTCATGCCAACTTGGCAAATTACATTGTGTTAGTTATCCGTCTCGAGTCATTAAACGAACAGAGTCTCCATTTTTGTTAGTTCATTCAGATGTTTGGGGTCCATGTCATGTGACTTCCAAGTTGGGTTTTAGATATTTCGTTACTTTTGTTGATGACTATTCCAGAGTTACTTGGTTATATCTAATGAAAAATCGTTCTGAGTTGTTTTCTATATTTCGCTCATTTATATCTGAAATCTTTACTCAGTTTGGTGTGCATGTTAAAGTGTTGCGTTCTGATAACGCTAAGGAGTACTTTTCTGCACCTTTTTCTGATTTTATGACACAGCATGGTATGATTCATGAATCTTCATGTCCTGATACACCACAGCAGAATGGTGTTGCTGAGAGGAAGAATAGACATTTGTTGGAAGTTACTAGATCTATGTTATTTGAGATGAAAGTCCCTAAAGTCTTTTGGTCTGATGCTGTCTTGACTGCATGCTATCTCATTAATCGCATGCCTTCCTCTGTTCTACGAGGTGGCATTCCATTTTCTACTTTGTTTCCAAATCAGCCACTATTTGCCTTACCACCTCGTGTACTTGGTTGTGCCTGTTTTGTTCGTGATCATCGACCTGGAATATCCAAACTTGATCCCAAGGCTATCAAGTGTATGTTTCTTGGTTACTCCCGTACTCAAAAGGGTTATCATTGTTATTCTCCCTTACTGAACAAATACTTCATAAGTGCTGATGTCTCATTCTTCGAATCCACTCCATATCATGATATTCCAATTTCTGTGTCTGAGTTGGATGAAGAATTACATGTGACTACAATTCGGTCAACTACTCCAGCTGTTTCACCTGCGTCTACACAGGAACCACCTCCTCTACAGGTTTATACTCGGCGTCCTCAGGTTCATACTCCCCCCCTTCCTCCTGTCACGACTGCGTCATCTTCCGTCCCGGATCCACCATTAGTCGATTCTCCTCATGTGTCAGATCTTGATCTTCCAATAGCTCATCGCAAAGGTACACGTGCCTATACACAACATTCTATCGCAAATTTTATTTCATACTCTTCTGTGTCTCCTTCTTTTTGATCATTTTTATCTACTGTTGACCAATATCCTATTCCCAAGTCTGTATCTGAGGCATTACAAATTTCTGGGTGGAGGACAGCAATGGAAGAAGAGTTAAAAGCTCTACAGGTAAATCAAACTTGGGACTTGGTACCTCTTCCTTCAGGCAAAACTGCTATTGGTTGTAGATGGGTGTATGCTGTCAAAGTTAATCCCGATGGTTCTCTTGCTCGCTTAAAAGCGAGACTTGTTGCGAAAGGATATGCTCAGATGTATGGGATTGACTATCTGGATACTTTCTCTCCTGTTGCCAAGCTTACTTCTGTTCGTATTTTGATATCTCTTGCTGCCACCTATCATTGGCCTTTATTTCAGCTTGATGTTAAGAATGCCTTTTTGCACGGTACTTTACATGAAGAAGTTTATATGGAGCAACCTCCAGGGTTTGTTGCTCAGGGGGAGTCTGGAGGAATGGTTTGCAAATTAAAAAGATCTTTGTATGGTTTGAAGCAGCCTCCTCGGGCATGGTTTGGAAGATTTTCTGAAGCTGTACTTTCTTTTGGACTGTCTAGATGTGACAATGATCACTCTTTCTTTTATAGACAGTCAAGGAAAGGCAAATTATTCTTGATTGTCTATGTGGATGATATTATTATCACGGGAGATGATTTAGTTGGTATAGATGAACTAAAGATCTATCTTCAGAAATAGTTTCATACTAAGGACCTAGGAAAATTGAAGTATTTCTTAGGAATTGAGGTGGCACAGTCACAGAAGGGTATTGTTCTGTCACAACGAAAATATGTCTTGGATTTACTCATTGAGACAGGCATGTTAGGATCCAAGCCTCTTGATTCACCCATGGAACAAGGAGTTAAACTTGTTGCCGAAGGAGGAGAGCTATTCAATAGTCCTGAGAGATATAGAAGATTGGTAGGCAAACTAAATTATCTCACAGTTACTCGACCAGACATTGCCTTTCCAGTTAGTGTGGTCAGCCAATTTCTGTCTTCTCCTCGTACTTCTCACTGGGATGCAGTAATTCGAATTTTAAGGTACTCGAAGAAGACTCCAGGGAAAGGCATTATTTATCAAAATCATGGTCATAGTAGAGTTGAAGGATTTTCTGATGCTGATTGGGCAGGGTCTCCAGATGATAGGAGATCTACTACTGGCTACTGTACATTGGTTGGAGGAAATCTAATGTCATGGAAGAGTAAGAAACAGAATGTTGTTGCCCGCTCTAGTGCTGAATCAGAGTATAGAGCCATGGCACAAGCAACATGTGAATTAGTGTGGATTTAGCAGCTGTTGACTGAGTTAGGCTTGAAAGTTTCAATTCCTATGTCTCTATGGTGTGATAATAAGGCTGCAGTACATATAGCATCTAACCCGGTGTTTCATGAGAGAACAAAACACATTGAAGTTGATTGTCATTTTATTCGAGAGAAGCTGCAAAGTGGAATGATTCTTCCTAGTCATGTTAGAACTGGTGAACAACTTGCAGACATTTTTACTAAATCTTTGGGTAGCGGGAGGATAGAATATATTTGTAACAAGCTCGGTATGATTAATATCTATGCTCCAGCTTGAGAGGGAGTGTTAGAAGTATCAAGGGCAAAGTGGTCTTTAGAACTCTTAGGGTTTATTGGGTTACCATTGAATAAATACGTTATTTTGATGAATAGTAAATCAACTTTTCCTCTCTAACACAGATCATGACCAATAAGAATTGCTTGGAATTGAGCACGCCACGAGGGATAGTTGGCGGCTGTTAGCTTCAGTGGGAATTGCACAGCGGTAGAGATGGCGATGAGGCCGCTGGATAGAGCTGCTCCATCATTGTTGGATCCAGTTTGGAGACTGATATTGCTCGAGTTAGGGGTTGAATCCATTCCGGAAAAATGCAGAATTGCACAGCTGGAAATGCAGAATTGGATCGAAAATCTGCTCTTAGAAGCCCAAGGGCTCTGATACCATGAAATGACTATTGAAGAAGATGAAATTGTTCATACTATGTTGCTCAACTTTTACATGTATCTATATAGAATGCCCTAGTGCTCACATTTGGGAAGTCTACAATCAAGGAGAAACAAATATTCTACAGATAAGGAGAACCAGCTAATATACAGTTGATATTGCAACGGTTTAGGAGATTTGGAAGATTTGAAATTTATTTGATATCTCCAACAGCTACCATGATAAGCCTGGACTAACTTTCAACTCAAGACATATTAATAGCTGTTGTATTATGTTGCAGGTGCGAATTTTGGCAGTGATGGAGGATCACGTCACAGATGCAATTTGCTAGAAGTTAAGGCAAAAAACATACATCAAAGGAAGCAAGATCCTGCAACCTGGTATTCTTGTTGAAAATATGACTTTTGTTGTCCGTGGGAAAATTGAGAGCAGAGGAGAAGATGGCGTTACGCGTTTATGCGAAGGAAATATCTGCGGGGAAGAGCTTCTAGCTTGGTACCTTGAGAGTTCTTCTATAAACAAAGGTACAAATCGCAATTTTCTGAGTAGTCTTTAATTATCGAATGTCTGGACATTAAGAGCATTTCAAAATCTGTGATATTGAAGATGGACGGAAGATAAGACCACCTGGAAACCGGGTGCTGAGTAATAGGACAGTAACATGCGTGACAGATGTTGAAGCCTTTGCACTACGAGCAGAAGACCTTGAAGAAGTCACCCGACTATTTGCAAGATTTCTGCGCAGACCAAAAGTTCAAGGAGCCATAAAGGTTCTTGCTCTTTTTTAACAAATGATTTAGCACTGCTATATACACAGGCAAATCAAGCATATCACTGAACTACCTGCAAAAGAATAGCAACTAAGTTAACTGTTTCCAATTCTCTCTGTTTCCTGTGTACATTCTCTTTTTGAACCTAAGGCTCCGTTCGTTTGGCGGAAAATATTCTCCTTTTGGAAAATATTTTACCGGAAGTCATTTTCCTGGAAAATGTTTTCCCGGAACATAATTTTCCGGTGTTCGGTGACCAATATGAAAAAGTTTCGGAAAATATTTTTCGCCGGTGGCAGCGGCGACCGGCGGCGCGACCGGCGATCGGCGACCTGCGGCGGCCGGCGGGCGCGTGGTGGCCGGCGGGCGGCGGCCGGCGGTCGGCGGCCGGCGGTCGGCGATCTTAGTGAAGAAGAAGAAGAAGCAGCTCCGGAAAATGATTTCCGCTTTTGAAGAAGCGGAAATCATTTTCCATAGACTTAGGCTATTTTGTGAGGGGGGAAGGAAAATATTTTTCCACGAAAAACGTTTTCCGCCCCCTGAACACCAGAAAACCCGGAAAATATTTTCCGGGAGAATATTTTCCGCCAAACGAACGGAGCCTAAAGGCAGGAACAATTACTGGGTCCCATAGTTTGTGATTTTCTCCTACATGGACAGCATCGACAAACGTTTGCATTATGCGATTGTGACAAAACCGCCTGGTTGCAGGTATGTATCACCATACTGGAGAGTACTTGCAGCAACTCACATCCAAGTTGCATGGAAGTACTGGAAGAAACGACTTAGTCGTGCTGAGTCTGCTGGCACTTCACAGTCACAGCATTCAAGTTAGCAAAGTATGTTATGGTATCAATAATTACTGAGATTTCCTAGAGGTGCTTGTATAGACAACTCTTATTCCACAGATAATTTTAGCAGAAATAATATATAATGGACCAGAGATCGGAATTGGGATGAGAAACTACTACAAGTGCGGTCGCTGTTCTTTTTTGCAGTCCTTTGTTGTTACTGTAGACTCC